TAGCTCCTTCTACAGTACCACACTTACCTGCATACTACCATAATGTTAATGGACTCAACCTCTGAAACCGTAAGCTAGCTCAAATGAAGCATTTTTCCTCTATAAGAGTCGCCATAGTTATGGTGTCTTTTTACAGCAATGGAAACGCTTACTGATACAGAAGTTGATACTGGGGATTGGGGTACTGTTGAGATAGGCCTGACCATGCTTTTGACTGGAAGAGTTTGGACTTTGGGATTTTGGAGTCAGGAAAGCAGTGGAATGCTTAAGCATTGCAAAATGGGCCATACTAGTAGGAGCATGGAACTATGGGGGCCTGACTCAAGAGGTTTCAGAGGAGAAAACTTTAAGTACATTTCCTAGAAATAGTTCTTGTGAAATTTTGGTGAAGAATGTGACTACTTTTTGCCCTTGTCTGAAAAGTCTGGTTGAGAATAAAGTGAAGATTCCCTTTTCAAAGGAAATCTCAAAACAGCCTAGTATAGACTCTGTTGTGTGGGTATTAGTTTTAACTCTAATGGAAATTTATAATGAAAATAGCAAGATGAACAAGTAAAAATGTACAAATTGATGAAAAAAGGAGCACCAGGAAGTAGAATGGAGCTAAATCCTGTTCTTAAGGAGATAAACAGACTAAAAAATGGACTAAAAGGAGTAGTGACTTCAGGGTACGACCCACCTAGCTAAGGTTCCAACTTGTGAAATAGAATTAAAAAACAGCTTATGTTCGGATGTGGTGGTGCATGACTTTAATACCATTGAATAAGGGATCATGTTCCAGCCCCAGCAAGCAGCAGAATTTGGCAGCTCCGACCACATGGTTTCTGATTTAGAGTTAAAGATAGAAAGGGGTTATGGAATCTTCCTCTGTGACTAATAAAAGCTTCTGGGACCAGGCATATGTAAGAGGTATACCTGAGTTGAGGCCTAGAGAGGCCATAGAGTGAAACTGTGAAGTTAAAGCCTGGATTACCTTAAAACCCCCAAATGTTGAAGATGGTAGAGCCATGGGATACCTGTTGAGGAAAGTTACTAATAGGAAATGGAACCAGCCCAAGAGAAAGAAGTATGTTTTAGTCACTAAAGTTGAACAGAATTGGCAATCTGAAGAGCACTTTGACATCAGACATGGAGATGCAGTTTGGAGCTTGCCCAGTTGGTTATCAGTCTTACTTTGGTCCATTATTTCCTCACCATGCTCCCTTCCCTCCCATTTAGAATGGCAATGTATATTTTGTGCCATTGTATGTTGGAAGTATATAATATTCTTTTCATTTTGATTTTAAGGGGATCATAATTAAGAGTTTGCATGAGAGACTTTGAACTTTAGACTTTTACATACGTTTGAGACTATTATAGATTGTGGGCACTTCTGAAGTTGGACTGAATGTATTTTTGCTTTATGATATTGTTATAAGTTTATTGGAACTATGGAGTGGAATGTGGTAGTTTGAAAGAAGATGTCCCCCATGGGAAGTGGCAGTACTAGGAGATGTGGCTTTGATGGAATAGGTATGGCCTTGTTTGAGGAAGTGTGTCCCTATGGGGATGTGCTCTAAGGTCTCTTGTGCTCACTACCAGTGTGGAGCACAGTACACTTCCTGTTGACTGCGGATCAAGATATAGAACTTTCATCTCCTTCTCCAGCACCTCATCTACCTGCATGTCACTATGGTAATAATGTACTAAATCTCAGAAACTGTAAGCTAGCCCCAATGAAGTGTTTTTTTGGTAAGAGTTGCCATGGTCATGGTATCTCTTCACAGCAATAGAAACCCTTACTAAGGCAGGCTTCTATTCCTTAGGTGTCCCAATAAATACAACCATGCTGTGTGCACTTCCCCATGACCAAGTGATGGAGGTGTTGATTAAGCTTAGCAATATGGAATGTGCACATGTATATGTTTGAAACCTATATCACTGACAAAACATTTTCCTTTCTGTCTTTTTCATTTTACTTAAGAATGCTATTGTTTTTGAATAATCTTCCAAACTTACCTTGTGTTTCTGACTTTAAATGTTACAAATAAGATAGGATTGAACTATATATTGTTTCATGTTCTTTCTAGCATAATCTTTTCAAGGAACTTTTAGTTCCTGATCAGTGTGAAAAAGCATAGATGCAAAAATAAGACTTAAGAACAAAATTTCTCTGGATTTAGAGAGGATATAGCCTGGATATGTTGGATCTGGCCTTTAATCACAGCACTCAGAAGGCAGGAGCAGGAGGATCCCTGTCAGGCCAGCCTGGTCTAAAGAGTGAGTTCCAAGGCAGCCAGGGCTACAGAGAGAAATTCTGTTTCAAAAGACATAAACAAAATAAGACAGAAAATAAAGAAAGTATATATAGCAAGAAGCATATTAGAAAAAATTCTTGGTTTATTTCCTTTAAAATACTTTTAAATATAGATTCATAACTTCATGCAGTGGGACAAATTGAACCCCAATATATTTTTCTACACATAGAAAATGAAAATAACAGTTAAGTAATTGAATTACTTGTTCAAAACATTAGTCAGTACCAGTGAGTTGGAGTGATATTGGAATAAAGAGAAAAACTATCATGTTCAAGTGAAATGATAAATATAAAGATCTATTTGGTACACCAAGAAGTGCTTCACAAGATAATTTGAAGAAATGAGAAGATTTATATTCCCTTCAGCTCAGCTGCATAGCATCATAATAAAACACAGTCACAATTGTTTGGGTCATTTCAGAGACAAGAACCAGATCCTATGTGAATCACATATAAGTCAGCTGTTTACTTGGCACAAGTGATCATAGTAAAGTATAAAGATCTCTAGTAAAGTACAGTCATTTAATTTAAATACGGTTGGTGTTTCAAACGAGCAGTAATGTATTATTTTGGAATGTGTGGATGATCCCAGCTTGAAGAGTTAGTACATTTTATCCTGTGAGTTGTACTTTAAAGTATCTTTCTTTATAATGAACAGGACTTTTGAGATTATTCAACTGAACATAAGTCAGAGATATAGATAATAAGTAAATATGTTTACATACTTATTACACTCTCATGTTTCTCTATAAAATATTTTACAACAGAAATCTATATTTGCCTTCATATTATAACATTGTTTTAATTTAGTAATTCAAATTTGTTGGTATAAACAACAAAACAATCTCATAGCCTAGTTATATACAAAGAATAATCATGTATAAAATAATTGATAATCTTCTTTGATAGTTTTCTCATTAAGTAAACAGTAAGTTAAATAGTGAAACATAGGAGCAAGAAAACTGCCTGCACATAAAGGAGCTTCCTGACTAAAGGAGGGAAAAACGCTTAGAGTGAAAACAGTCTGGAGAAACAGTGTTTCATAGCTGGATGGATTGGGCTGAAAGGACAGTAGCTGACTGTGAGAGTGAAGAAAAGGACCAAGAAATCAATGCCTGTCTATTGAACATGCATACATTCCCATTGGATAAACTTGTCCCCAACTTCATGCTAACTACAGTTAAACTTCATTTTGTAGAACCACAAAAACAGATTTATGTTCTTACTTGAATGATGAACTAAGGTATCTCCCACAATGTTTTTGTAAACTGGATAGTTAATAAATAATGACTGCTTGGAAAATTGAGAAAAAAATTGATGCAAGAAAATTAGTATATCTTTTGCTATTTTTTAAAAAATTATTTTATAATTTAACAAATTGTGAGATTATAACATAACTACACCATTTGCTCCTTCCTTTTTCTAGTTATCTTCATTGTATACTCCTTGCTCTTTGTCAACTTCATGTCCTCTTTTTCTTTAATTGCTGTTACATACTTAAATGTAACATGTCTTTTTCTGTCCCTCCAATTAGGTGCCGATGATTATGAAAAGTTGGCCTATAGCTTAGGCTTGTTTATGACTAGCTCTAACAACTTAAATTAACTCATTTCTATTAATCTCCATCCTGTCACATACTGCCCATCCTATTTCCTCCATTCTTCCTTGTGTCTCTCTCTATGACTAGATTCCTACGCTGAGGATACCAAGCATCTGCAGTCGGGACACAAGACCAGAGAACCCAATGCGGCTATGACCTGAATGACTCTTCCCTGAAGACTGGCTTTCTTGATACCACAAGGTGCCATGTAAGCAAGCTTCCAAAAAAGGGAAACAACACGTAGTCCTTCTCAGTTAAAATGCCTATGAACTCCCCTACAACCTGCATGGTAGGATAACCCTAAGGGTACAGTAGCGGTCCACGCACATTGGCAATAACAAATAGTTCTCTAATTGGACTTAAGGCCTGATCACCAAGAGGAAAATTATACCTGGTATTGGAAACCTAGTCGACTCCTTGGGATTAGTGAAGTCACAGAGGAAGCCTAGGATTGCTACTTTACCAAACCAGTGTCATCCCTAACTTTATTCTGAATATTTATTCTTAGTTATTTTTTTTAAGCAAGAGCAAATTTTGGTACCATAAAGGTTTTCTGGCTACAGTTCTTGTGAATGAAAGCAAAATTTTGTGAGATCACTTTTCACGTACTGCTTGGGAATATTCTTAACAAACAAGGCAAGTCAGCCACATCTTAGTGCATGGCAACACACCCGTGAGCGTATGGATAGCACAAATTGTTCTTAATGGGTTATTTAAAAAGGCAAGAACGTGGGAGTGGAGAGATGGTGGTGTTTCTAGGTGGAGTTGGGAGAGACATGATCAAATTACATTGTACAGTTGTAAGAAATTCTCAAATAGTAAAAATGCTGTATCATTTTTTAAACGTTCTAAAAGTCCTCCCTCCCTTCTTAGTAGAACTCTGTGGACAGCCTTCCTACCACGCCCCACCATAATCTGCTGCTGGTAAAAACCCGAACCACAGAAGGTTCCTCAGAACAAAAGCTGCCCCTCTGCACTTTTTGGCTATGGAATGCAACTATGGAGCAGGATAGAGAATGTATAGATTCGCTAACATGTGATGCTCCTCAACGTCACTGTGGGAAACATTCGTAACTGAAGGAACCTTCTGGTGGTTGCCCAGGAGGCTTGTCAAGCCCTGCAGCTCACCCTGGCAGGGGGTCGTGGCCCTCAGGGGTGTTACAACAAGGGGCTACAGCCCTGTCACAGGAAAACAAGCCTGTGAGTTCACAGTGCTGTGAGGAGACAGAGGAGGAAGCACTAATGGGGCCTGGCGGGGCGACCTGGGTTGGGAGAGCGCTCTGGGGGTGGAGCTAGGGAGACAACGACAGTGTGGCAGGCGTGGCTTCAATACCAGTTCTGAGGCTTGAAGGTTCTCAAGTTCAGGAGGTGACTCTGAGTCCTGAGTCCGAAGCTAAGGTGAGCATGGTCCTGGGGTTTTGGCCTTCTTTTAGGTGAGGGTAGGAGAGCAGTTGGAAAAATGCGCGGGGCACTTCTTGAATCCCAGCACTCGTGAGGCCCAGGCAGGAGGATCTCTGTGACTTCAAGGTCAACCTGGTCTTCATAGCTTGTTCCAGGACAGCTAGGGCTGTTACACAGTGAAACCCAGTCTCGAGCCCCTCCCTACGCCTCCCCCCCCCCCAAAGTCTGGAATGTATTCCAGTGTGATAGAAAATAGAATAAGGTCTGGGCATTTCCCGTTTTTGCCTTCTGTGCACTCTTGTATGTACTAAATAGACAAGCAGCCTCCCGTTGATCTAGGTGCTCACACTCACACCCCACACGTGGTGGTGCTAAAAGCTGAGAAAGACAGTAGGCTGTATACTGCTGTCCCAGGAGTTCTCTCACGCACTGCATGACTGCACCATCGCTAACTGATTCTGAACATGCATTTTCCATGGCGTTTCTGTATATAGGCCTGGCTTTGCCTAAGTCTTCAGTGAGGACGCACTGAAAACAGTGAGGACAACTCTGCAATAAAGCCATTAAGTGTGTGTGTGGGGGGAGATTGTGGGCTTTTTGTTGTTGTTGCTTTTGTTGTTTCTCCATTATCAAGATGTTTAGTGACCAGAATGAGGTTTTACAGGATTTAATCCTAAAATTATCCCATGTTAATTATGAAATTCTGTTTGAGAAATTTAGTTTTTCTTTAGGAAATAGTTGAGGGTTTTCTCACTTCAAATAATGCAGTTTGGTGAGCACTGGTGTGCACAGTAGCCAGTTTCCAGGCTTTACCTGTGCTTTTAGTGTCTAGTCTTTGTATGTATGCCGGATACCAGAATTTAGATATTATTACTTAGATCTGTCTTGTAGGTTAGCAAACTGAAGTTCAGAGAAAGTGAGTTGCCAAGATCACACAGCTATTGATGGCAGAGCCCAGAGTCAGTCTTAATAGACCTATTCATTATCCAGTGTTTTCTCTCTTAGCTACAACTCAATGTGGTTGCTCAAGAATGGTTTCAAAGTGATTTTGATAGATCTGCAGAAGAGACACCACCCATAACAGTGGCTCTCAATGACAAGAGTCCAGCATTTGAAGAACTGCTTTTCCCTATCATCATCGGAGAGTTGGCTGCTTTGTTTTCTTTACCAGTTCACTTCATCCTCCTTCAGGACCCCAACCCTGTAGGAAACAAATGCTGTAGTTCTGCAGACGGACCTTGTACTCCACCTGTCTCTGTTTATTGCCTTTCTTTTTTTCTAAGGCAACAGATCTTTAGAAATATGAATGTCTGGATAATACGTATCCTAGGCTTTATAGTCATGTTTTCAGACATAAGGATTCAACTTTGCTCTTTTTATATCTTTGTTTGGAGATAGATACTTTTTGAAGTAAGAGAGATTTATTTATTTTAACTATAAACTGATCCATATAGAATGGTGTTGGTATTTATAGTTAGGTCCCCTCGGCTGTGTCATAACATTGTAGAGAAGCAGAAAAGAAAATCATTAAAGGGGCCATGGACATGGTTTGCTCGACTGAACAACCCACTATTGTTAAGTGCTTGAGTCTTGTGAGAAATTTATCATCCTTCTTGGAAGTGTACCCTATTAATTATCTTTTATGTCCCACTTTGTGGAGATCCAAAATTTCAATACTTGGTCCACTAGGTATCAGGATTCCATCCTGAGTCTGTTAAGGTTAAACCATGGCCAAACCATCACTGACAATCCTAAACAATATGGTGTATGGCTGATTCATGGGAGCAAAAACAAGTGGATTTGACTCATTGACTTGATGCTTATTTGTCAATTTCCTGTCCTAGACTCTGGAATCATTTTTAGATCATCTTGGTAGTGGCAGTATATATTAAAGTGCACATTCTGTGTCAGAGCCTTTGCAAGCACAATGTGGGTAAGCAGTTCTGGGACTTTGGAGTTTTCACTAGTAAGTGTTATATTCTACTAGTTGGTCCGAACTAGGTTTGTCCATGTGCCACTACTATTTTATTTTGACTTTGTTGCCCACTGAAACACATGGCAACTTTTCTGTTACCAGCTCTGTTAGCCATTATTGCTTTTTGAATCTTCATTTTTTATTGAAGTTACTGCATGTTTAAATTTAAATACAAACATTGACTACTTATTTTTCCTGTGATGCTAAGCATGTATAAACTGGTTTCTGCTACCATGTTTATTAGAAAGATAAAAAACCTAAGGACCTTGGTGAATACGCAAGAACAATATCCAAGTTTTCACAGGCTAAGGCCACTTTACTGAAAAGGATGAAGGCAACAGGCCACTCTGGGCATCTAAAAAGCTTTTCATTTTTATTTTTCAAGCATGCAGGTGCTGCTGAAAGAACGAGATTAGACCGAAGGCTGGGATTCCAGGCACACACTGATGTGCTTATGGAATTCCTCGGTAGTTTTTTCCTACTAAAAACGTTGTCATATCCATGTCCTGGTGACTATAGTGCTTACTATGAAGCATCAAGAAAAGCCCTGCACAGAGCTAGACGTATTTTCTTTTAAGTTAGTGTTTTAACTTAATCAGAAAATAAGTTTATAAATATTGTATAAAATGTAGTTAGAAGAGAAAGTTATTCTTTATTAGGTTAAAGATTTTACAGGATACTCATAGGAAAACTGGTATCATAATTACATACAAGCAAACATTAGTTTGAGTCTTAAAGAATTTTCACTTTGGAACTTATACAAAATTATTTTATTTTTTTATAGGTTATGTAGTTATTAATACAGAAACTGATACTAAAGGAGCTATTTTTGCTCATATTATTAGCTCTCTAAAGTTAATATAATTTCTTGTGACCCAAAAAATACAGAACCAGAGAATGCTAAAGGTGAAGGAGCGGTAAGAGATTATGTACAAGAGACTCTCTCATCAGGTGCGCTATGGATACCTTAGAGTAGGTCATTCGTTAACGGAGGTGGTGGCGCACAGTGATGAGGAGTGGCCGAGAGAGCCATCCATGTGCCGCAGCGTATTTGGCACTATCTATGCTCTCCACATATTAAGTCACATCACTGTTGGCTATAGCTTGCTCATATCGAAGTATACACAATAATAAAAATGCCTTTGTATGATTGAGAAATGCTACTCAAAGGATGGGGTGGTGGGAGTCACCTTTAGTTAGGAGCCTCTGGCTTGGTACAACTCCCATGCTATAAACACATGCTAATCCCTTGCCTCCATCTCAAGTATTAAGAAGGTTATTTTTCACTTGGTAGCATAGTTAGGTAGAACATGCTGGAAGTAAGAGAGGTCAAAGAAAGAAGTTATGAATATAATTCAATGCCTCCTTGTTTTATGGTCCTTTCTATTCTTTCTTTTTGTAATATTTTCAGGCTGTAATATAGATTAACGACACTAAGAAAATCACTGAACACATTGCTTGACCTACCACACACACATACGTTGACTCACACAATGACACTGGGTCTTGTTGTATAACAAGGCTGGTCTTGAACTCTCTGGCTCGAATACTCTTGCTAGAGTACTCAGAAGCTAGGACTTCAGGCGTGTGCTATTCTGTCATGCTAATCTGTTTGTTTACAAGACTTTCTCAATGAAGCAAACCGTGTTGATTCAGATAGAAACCCTTATCCTTCCATTGTCCTGCGACACTGTTTACTGGTGAACATCAGCCTCTGGTCCTCATTTTGATACAGCAGTACAGAGAGTAGCACAGCTTTAGCGCTGGCTCCTTTCTAAGGCTTCATCTGTGCTTACTTCTCTACTAGGAACACATTCCCCACAGGCTGTTTTCTGTCTGGTGTATTCACAAAGCAGACTATATTACCCCCTTCCTTAAATTCATTTTACAGAAATAATTCTATTCCAATATCTCTAAATATATGTTTGGTTCTTTAATATCCTAGTAAGAGAGATATTTTGAGACTCTATTTTTGATGGCAATGTATTTCTATCAGGCAATGATAAATTCCATGTATTATTGTTGTGTAACAGAGTTTTCCTGGGAGACACAACACACACACACTCACACGCACATGCACACGGAATGCACATGTTCACTCACACATACACAATTCTGCTCACCCCAGAAAGAGAACCCAGGACATTTCAAAGTGATGATCTCACCATTGTCCATTTTGGTGAAACAACTGCAGCCCCACTGGTCAGTCTTCTTCCGCGTATTTGTTTATCCCTTTCTCTACTGCCAGGAAGTGAGGGGCCTCAAGAATCTCCAACAATTTCTCCTCCTAAACATGGGACTTTTTATTTACCTCCTGAGTCACAGGAGCTTATCCTTCTTTTCTGGAGGGAATATTTCAATTTTGGGGAAAATGTCATACAGCAATGTGTGTGTGTGTGTGTGCGCGCGTGCGTGCGCACTTGCGCATATGCACGCATGTGTATTGGGTGGGGATGGAGACACTTTTAGAGTGTTCAAACAAAGAGAAAGGTAGGCAAGAAAAAACATGTTCCACAGAGGGAAGAAATTCACTGATTTGGAGGACAGACTTCAATAGGAAAACAAGGCCTTGGAAGAGTATAGTAGAGGGCAGATGGTGGACCACTGCTTTGCTAAACTAAGGAATTTTGATTTTTATACCAAGGACAATAGGATGCTATGGTATAAACTGAGCAGACTTTGTGGAAATTATTAGCAAAAAAAAAATCTACTTCCACAACTATATGGTGTCTAGTCTTTTTGTTTCTTTTTTTTTTATAAATCAAGCATTCTTTTTATTATTATTATTATTTATTTCGTATACAATATTCTGTCTGTGTGTATGCCTGCAGGCCAGAAGAGGGCACCAGACCCCATTACAGATGGTTGTGAGCCACCATGTGGTTGCTGGGATTTGAACTCAGGACCTTTGGAAGAGCAGGCAGTGCTCTTAACACTGAGCCATCTCTCCAGCCCCAGTCTTTTTGTTTCTTAACTGTCCTTCAAAGTGACACATGGTGGTGGTGGGGAGAGCATGACAACA